TGGCCTCCTGCCACTACTGCTCGTACTTGGCATTGGAGATGAATCCATTTCATCAGTGTAATCACCAGTTACAGTTGACCTAACAGCTGTGGCAGAAGGGGTACTAGACCTACTTCGCTGTTCCTTGGTAGCAGCAATAGGTTGACGAGTATTGCTTGAACTACATGTTTCTACCTCATATGTTCCGGATGATGAAAATTCAGGAATGTTTGTAGGTGCTGAAATTTCAGGTTCTAAATGCACAATGGGTACTGTGATATCATGTTCCTGTATATCCTCATTCAGAATGCGGGTTATAGAATCATCTTTCTCTTGAACGGGCCGAAACATAAATTCCTCTCGGAAACAACTACCGGTAGCTGTAAACCTAGCTCCTGAGGGTCTGGGGGTTGGTTCTCTTTCTTCTTCTGGAAAGAAATGTAGTATAATAGGTTGATTGAAGTCTATGTTAAGAGTATAATTAAAATATTACACTGTATTTCCAAATATACAAAAGCTTTTAGGAAAAATAATGGTTTGAAAAATAGTGTTGACCATCTAAATATATTTGTTTAAAATATTTTTAAATCTAAATATCAACTAGGCGTTAAATTTCTTATATTTGCACTTCTCAATTTTGTCCATTAACATACGAGTTATAAAAACATTTAATATATAAATTAGGGAAGCAATAAACAAGCTAGAAATGAAACCAACTTACTAGTGTCGTTATTTTTCAAAATTATATAAAAAAATCAGTATACTGTACAGTATTTCCAAATCAAGATGTGAAAAAATGTCTCCAAAAGTTTTTTTTTAAATAAAAACAAGGGCAGAAAAAAACAAAATATATCAGGGGGTTGGAAAAGTATTTTGACTGAATTACCATTAATAGGTTCTTCACTTTCAACATCCCCTGGAATCCCATGTATAGAGGCTGGATCTAATAGTTGAAGAATTGCTTCTTCAATTGCAGTGTATGTAATTTCAATTTGGGGGCCGCCACCTTGAAGAGAAAATATAAATAATAACTGTCTTACTGTGAGCTGTGGTTACATACACTATACGCTAACTATGTTATATTTGGCAGAAATCATAGTTACAAAGGAATCTACTGAAATAGTTGTCTTACTGTGAGCTGTGGTTACATACACTATATGCTAACTATGTTATATTTGGCAGAAATCATAGTTACAAAGGAATCTACTGAAATAGTTCCAAACATTATAACCTAACCTATCATTGTAGCTGTAGCCACAAAAATTCTCCTTTATCTATGTCAAAAGTTAATTAGATTTAAGGTAACAAACAATAAATGGTAAAATAAGTCAAAAAAAATAGTCGCAGCCAGAAATTTTCAACCTGTATTAGTTGTAAACTCATAAGATAGAACATCCTTGCCTATAAGCCTAACAAAATAAAATTTACATATTAATGTATACCAAATATGAATATAAATCTATTGATGAATGAAAATTAACGACATAAAAAAAGGAATTCTATGGCAACTTATACATTATGACCTTCATTACCGTCGGAAATAACGTAATTATTAATATGTAGTTTATAACAGTAACCAAACCTACCTAACCTAGCTTCCTTTACCAACGGGAGGCCTCCGCCGCCCTGCCACACAAACTCATATTAACTATCTCTGTTCCACGTCAGTTGCGACACAATGACAAGTGTGTCTTAAAATTGTGTAATCTATATGATAGGTATAATAAGAAAATCCAAAAGTTGTGGGGAAATTATTAACAGTTGTACAGACTTCCCTGACTACCGGGTGGGAAGATATTGGAAGCATAATGTGTTGTCTAATGGTAGACCCTGCTGCCATTTGGCATCACGAAAATTAGGAGCAAGTCCAAGGTTGCTGATCTGACTAAATGTGTCATTTACACACAAGTGCAGGGTCGCAATTGTTTCTCGTAATATCAACAACACAACATACATACTGTATATTGATTCTCACTTTTTGTGTTTTCATTTCGGTATTTATGGTTATTTATTATTAATATTATTATTAATAAAGAGGTATTTTTATTAATAGTACTAAAGAATTATTATTACAGGCCCCGACGTGGGTCAGTGACTGTGCCTGGGTTGGTTAATCCACGTAAAAAAAAAAAAAATTTAGGTTGAACGGTAAAGTTTTTACTATTTACTCACACGGAAAACTTCGAAGAACGATGTTTCTTTTAATGAATGCGCTCATATAAGGAAAATATGTGTATTCATTCACGATGGAGAGCCACCACACTACTTACTTCCTTGAGTTTACAAACACGAAAATCGTACCAAGCCTCAGAAAAACCATAGTTAAGTTTGTTTCATATTGTCAATCAATAACCACGCTAACAATATTAAGACTTACCTGTTCCACCAGCATATTTCTTATCTTGTGCTGCTTTTTTCTTAACGCTCACACGAAGATCAGCAGAAAACTTCCGCCGAATTTCAGTAACATTGCGGGTGACTCTACCAACAGCATTCACCGCATTTAACACTTCACCCCAGGCTGGTTTTTGAGTTGAAGTGTACAACTACTTGAGTCCAACTTCCCTAAAATCATTTCTTGTCTTTTGGCCACCTCAGTCACAAGGTCGTCTCTTCTTGGCTGGTGGTCCTTCCATGTTTACACAATAATATTACGTGCGTCGCTCTCAGCTGATTTCTCCTTCTCTTGTGATTGGTTGATGATTTTGTTAACTGAGCGTTGATTGGCCAACTAGCGTCTGCACTGACATCTACCGTCCGACAAGAGAACTTAATTTACAGGGTAAACACTAGAGTTACGAGAACTTATGGTAGTCTTACGGAACCATAATTAAATTTTGAGTATGCTAAATTTATGGTACTGTAAGGCTTCCACAATATATGGTACTGTATCATGCTGAAAAACGTAACTTATGAGGTGTTTTGAGTATCCGGCCCCAGTTCAACTTGAGTCTTGTCACTGGCCCTTTTATAACTTGTCGTTGGCCCTCAAGAGGCCCACTAGTTCATTCTGCCTTGTCACCTACCCACTGGCCTCCTGTCAACGACCACCCTGATACCTCCAGCAAACCTCCCCATCTCTCCCCCTTGTCCCTCTCCCCGTCTCACCCTGCCAAAGTCCTCCCTGGCACCCTGCCACGGCACCCTGGGTGATCTAGATGGATGAATTAGCATGAGGAGGCGACCGCTATATATATATAACATACTTTAAATGCAAGTCGTCCGTTTAATTGGAGTTGTGGCTGTGCCCCCACACGGAGAGTAGAAACGGGGCGAGCTGACGGTCCGGAGCACGACGTGAGAGAACTTTCAAACCAGTCGGTCCTTCTTTTACCTCTGTCTGTCTGTCTGTCTGTCTGTCTGAATCACCTCCTTCATAAATATTCTTCCCCTCTCTTGTGCTTACTATTTGTTTGTGTGTGTGTGTGTGTGTAATCCATTTATAGTATTTTAAGATCTGAGTTTACCACGTATCCACTTGAACCGATATAACGAAAGATGTTTATTTGTTATACATATTATCAAGGGCATATATTTGCTTTACCTACCTGTCTCAATATATACAGTTCTTTGATACAATTGCTCCCCTCCTTTGCATCTTAATTTCGATTATCTAGTTTCCTTGTTTGTCCGGTTACGCATTCGCCAGTAAGTCCTGTCACTCTGCATCTTTCTCTTGTCTTATTCTAGTGTGTAATTTGTTCATTAGCTTGGATTTATTGACTTGTACATTGAGCTAAAAGCATTTTCTCGAGCAAGTCTCTCCGGGGTGACGTGTGAGTGCATGGCCGCTAGCAGGGTCGGTGTTTATGTGTGGTGGCCCTCATTACATAAGAGGCTTATGTGTTACACTTTTTTTCTTTGCCTTCTGTCTGTTTGTCTTTGGTTCACACTGCTTTTGCTATCTTTGTTTATTTATCTTAATGGGTTTTTTTCTTTCTCTCTCTTATTGTCCGACTTCTACCCTTGCTGTCTCTGTCCTTCGTCCGTTCTACTCTCTCTCTCTCTCTCTCAGTATGACTGCTTTTCTTTCTCTATCTGTCTGCCTGTCTAATCACTTCTATTTATCTATCTGTCTAATCGCCTCTCCCTATCTGTTTGTCCATCTGTCTGTCTATCTGTTGTTCTCTCTTTGTTTAACTATCTGTCTGATTGCTCCTCTGCCTGCCTATCTGTCGGTCTGTCTGTTGGCCATTTTTCTATTCCTTTCACTGATTATTCTTTTTTTATCTTTCTACTCTCGTCTCCGTATACTTGACCTCTATCTCCCTATTCTATGTCTTCGTATCTCGTTCTACACCTGCTGCAAGACGACTTAAAGTAAACACCATCTCCATTAAACTCATAATAAAATAAGAAGGCTTTTGTTTATAATCGTCGCCGTGTATGTTATATTTTTCACTGTATTTTTTTTTCGTCATCATTTGCTCTGAGCCCCTACCTTCCATCTTTCCCTCCTTGCCCTTTCCAGTTCATTCCACCTCCCCTTTCTTACTCCTTCCCTTCCCTTCCCCTCCCCTGCTACTCCCCCATTTTCTTCCCTGCCCCACACCCACTCCTGCACCACACGCATTCCTAGCCCATTACCCCAAATCAACCCCCCCAACCCCATCCTCACCCCCACCACCCCACCATAACCTTTCAAAGCAAGCGCTAACGATATGTTAATTACAAGCTTTAAAATAAATAACTCATAGTTTTCCGGAATATATAAAGCAATAATGAGACCTTAAACATAACACCTTGTTGCTTTAGATCCCCTTTGATAATTTCTTAAGATTATTTTCGTTGTTGTTGTTTCGAGGCTAAATGTTCAGTACAGTTGGATGTAAAAAAAATGTTTAGTATTGTGGTGTTTGGTCTCTAGCGACGTCTTGTTTGACTGTCTGCGACGAACCTCCGTATTGACAGATTCTCTCCCCCTCTTTCTTATATAAGTGCAGGGTAAAGCTTAATCAACCCGAATGAAAATATACCAAGAAATTACTTAAAACAAGACGTGTGGCCCCAACCTGCGTGTAAACACCTGGAGATTTCAACTCAGCCACACATAACTATCCACGTTTTTCTCTTTTATTGTTTTTCTCGTCTGCTTAAACAAGATTTAGCGCTGGCTCCGACTGCCATTTGTCTTAGCACTTTGTTCATTCTGGTGAAGTAATTGTTTTGCCATCATCACCAATTGTGTGCGTAGGTCCGCTTAAATCATCCTGGGCTTTGTTCGTCGCTGCCACTTGAGAGTTTCGACACATGGAATGAACTCACATGAATGGCGGCTCTAGTGGAGTTGTGGCGAGGTTCTCTTGTGTCGGGGAACTGTAGAAAAGGCCAGACCTGAGCGATGAATCATGGTAAGAAAAAAGAAGAAAAAGAAGAAGAAGAACCGACCTCCAGGATAAACGGCATTACAGAAATACAACAATGGTCGGCGTAAATCACAGGTGAATGGAGGAGCATATGTTAATTTATAGCTTCTGTTGAACGTTGGCATTTATGGATAGACCCACATTACTATGAGGTATTATATTTACCACCAAAGATACATAGGCAAGGCTGAAATAACTCCTCTATGTATGCCCGTGTACTTCAATATTTCCAATACAAAGTGAGACCAGGTAAGTGTTTGTCTTGAGAAACTTACCAAGAGACGTAATTAATAACACTTCTTTTACCACATGACAGTGCAAAGAGTTCACCTAAGATTTGTTTATGTGGAGAATTATAAACAAACATATATTTAGTTTACTGTAATTGTCAGCGTAGTAGTGATGATATATTGGTCAGTGTGATGTTGTTAGTGTGGAGTGGTTGGTATAGGTTTTGTAGTGTGTGTGTGTGTGTGTGTGTGTGTGTGTGTGTGTGTGTGTGTGTGTGTATTTGAGTGCTCATAAGTGTGCACAGATTCCCACACAGAACTTCCTCCCCCCCGCCACACACACACGTTCTCATACACACACACACACACACACGCACACGCTCTCACACATACACTCTCACACACACATATCTACACACACACTCTCTCCCTCCCACTACAAAACTCACGGTCTCCCACAACACACTCGTTCCCTCCCACAACACACTCGCTCCCTTCCACAACATACTCTCTCCCTCCCACAACACACTCGCTCCCTCCCACAACACACTCGCTCCCTCCCACATCACACTCGCTCCCTTCCACAACATACTCTCTCCCTCCCACAACACACTCTCTCCCTCCCACAACACACTCCTCCCCCCCCTCACTTCCCCTCTCTCCCCCCACCTCCTCCTACCCCACCCTCCCCTCCCTCCACGTTCCCCTTCTCCTCACCCCTAATCTCTCACTAGAACTAAAGAGCAAAATATATATAAAGGTAAGAGAAACTAATTAACCACTGAAATTGATATAAAGTTAAATATAGATAAAGAATAATGAAGTACAAGTTAAAAACCACAGGTATATAACAAGAAATGAAAAATTCAAATAAATAATTATAAAGTGAAACGAGAGAGGAAATAAAATGTTAATAAAACACTGAAATGTTAATAATTAATCAGATAAAAAGTTAGCAAACACAAATAAACATAAATAATAATATATTCGATTTAACAGAGAAGCCAAATTCACTTAACACACTCGCATGTTTATATAATCTATGGGGGGGGGGCAAACATCAAGGTACTTTCCATAAACATTATAGTTTAGTAAATACAATTCATAAGTTTTGGATAGATAATTATACATACGTCAACATATTAGATAAAAACGTATATCAATTGACGTGTGGTAGCAGGTTAATTTGACGTACAATAACCTAACGTGACAAGTTATGTATCCTAGTGTGTGATAATGTTACAGCTGAAGCGGGAATATCGGTGAAATTACCTCGAGTAGAAAAATATTCCAATGAGAATATCGGATTTTGGTGACAACATGAGATAAATTTTATTAATGTAATATTCCTGATAATGTCGACACAGTACATAACAAGTCAAAGTGAATTACAGAATATTACCAACAATACAGAATTACAATGGGAAAGTAGATTTAAAATAACATCAATGGAATAAAGTGAACAGGTAAATATTACGATAAATGCCAGAACAAACAAAGCCACAAAAAAGTGACTGAGGGGGAAATATTTCGAGAGAAGGCAAATGGTAAATACATGAAACCTAAATAAAATATACATGGAAAATATTCATATGAAAAATATATTTTAATTTTTTCAAATCAAATATAAACATAAGGCAATTTTTCGCAATAGGTAAAACGCGTTTGATTTTTTTTTGGAGGTGGGGTGAGAGAGAGAGAGAGAGTGTGCGCGTGTTTGTTTCGTAGGCTAACAACCAACAACTGACGCACACAATTACATATATGAAATAATAATAATAATAATAATAATAATAATAATAATAATAATAATAATAATAATAATAATAATAATAATAATAATAATAATAATAATAATAATAATAATAATAAAAACATTCTACATTCTCCCCCCCCCTCAAAAAAAAAAATCATGTTAACAAATAGGAGCGATATTTGTTTTGTTTTGTT